TCCTTCTTATTCACCTTGGTACGGGCTAGCTTAGTCAGTTCCTGGAAGACCTCGCACCGTCTAGGTTCGTGGACTTGTTTACAGAACTTGCATCGTCTTCGACAAAAGTGAGTCGAACGCGACATATCGCCGCACACCCCACAGGGCGCATACTGTCGTCGTGGGAAACGATCAGTGTTATTTTGCTGCTGGAACCGATTGTCTCGGTTAAATCCTCGCGATTGTTTAGTCTTCGGGACCCTAGCGTCTGATCTAGCATACGTCCCGTCCGCTTCATTTCGACGTTCTATTTCATTGGTCGCTGCCGCAAAGTCATCCTCATTATCGGAATCATCGTTTTCTTTTTTTCTTCGTCAGTGTATCGCGATATATCGGCGTTCCATCCATCAAGGTTATCATAATCATTGTCGTCATCGTAAATATCGTGACGGTCGTCCTCATCACTTGTATACGTCTTTTGGGCTTCAAAGTGTCTTCGCTCCTTCTGTAAAGGTGACTCGAGGGATGTTTCGTGAGTCATCGCGACGGCGTCCGAAGTCTCTGTCACGGCGATCACTGCGCGAATAGCCGTCTCTCGGGTGGTCGTTACGTTTCGATCGATCGAACAGTATCATGACTTGGGATCGGGATTGAGAAGATCCTTTCGCCGATTCGCGATCATCCACCTTCAGGATCTCAATAATTATCACTCTCCAATCTCCTCAGGAAGACTCACTAGGATTTGCAACTGAACCCTACTTTTGGCCGAACGACTGGATGCCAGCTACTGCGGACGACAATCCTCCTGGGGATGTACGCCCGGCGCCCCCTCTGGACCCTCCGGACAGATCCGCAGAAACATCTCAACAGCTACCCCAAGAACGGAACACTTCTCCTTCATTGACATGGTCACCGGAAGGGGCCCAAGTCCTGAAACGGGGGTTTATTCCGGCTTTTGATGATAGCAACTTATCGCTTTCACCGGAAATGGCGCGCTACTGTGCCCTTGCTACACGGGTTTACCCCCTTCATGCTGATACGGCGCTCCGTCCCATGACGTCAGATGAATCGACTGTGCTCGCGGCCTACGTGTCTCGGGAATTGGATCTCCCGGCTCCTCCCACTTTCTTGACGTGCACGGCGTCAAGTTTAACGCGGGCGGCTTTCATGGTTTACAACCAAAGCCATATTGAGACCACTCTATTAGCGGATGTGCCCGCACGAATTCGCTTGGGGCGCAATATTGCACGCCGATCCATCCTGCGTGAACTGGTGGACGCAAATGGGGGAACGGATCAAGGAAAGACGCGCATGAAGGCTTTCATTAAGGCTGCAGAGCGGGTGGTCTTCGATGGACATCACACGCTCTCATTTGTGTTCATGTCCAACAAGGCGGCAGCATCGTGGGCAGGAACTGATCTCAAGCTGCGCGGGTGCTCGCTGACCTTGGAGATGGCCGGCATCGCTATACCAGGGATCCGGACGCCTCCTCAGGTAGCACGGCACTATGTTGTACGGGTACTTGGTACGTCAGGTCTCAACGCAGTCGAGTTGGTACAGTGCTTTCCAACATTGCCCAAGACTCAATTTTGGATATTCGTCATTCTGGGCTCCAAGGCCTGAAGGATGCTGACAACGATAACTGGACTATTATTTTCTCCACTCTGGACTGCCCTGAAGATTTACAAGGAACCACGGCGCATACACTGGGCGAACAGAATGTGATTTTCATCACTACCAACGAGCCCCAACAGCGCCATGCCGGCGATGGTACAACCCAAACCATACTCAGCTCCACTGTACGGTCTCAACAACTAGAATCAGACAAGCTCGATCCTCTCGACAGCGTCTCTATGTTGGTCCATTGCTGGAAACGCAGTCTCCTACAGTGCCGAACTTTCGAGACCTGGTCTCGTTAGAACGGAGGTTTGCAGAGTATGTAGGTGCCATCACTACCGGGGTCCCTCTGACAGCGGAGCCGACTCGCGCCTTCCTGGAAGAGGTACCTGCAGAGAATGACGAGGTATCTGAGTTTGCTCGACAACAGCAGGATCCGGGTGTTGATGCAACGGGATGGAAACTTATTCGCAGAAACAAGAGCGCTGTGACCTCGGTTTCAGGACGCGCATCCGGCTTACAGCAGGTTTCCACCAAAACCGGCACCGCACCCAATTACAAGCCTGGTCGCACTGCGGTCGAAGCAGCTCAGCAGAGTGGGGACGTTCCAAGGCAGCGGACAACTAGAGCCAAAGACAAAGAGAAGGTGTCCAAACCTACCACCACAACTACGGCCGCCCAACGATACAAGGATACCTGTGCGGCCTACGCTGCACTTGAGGCAGACAGCGAAGGCGAGGACGATATTACCAGCCCATATCCATTGACTGGTGACTCATCTGACCCCTCCGCCTCTAACCTGAATACTGTTGATGTACAACCTCAAGATCAATGTGCTGCGGCTGAACTTGATGTTGACATGGATGTGGCTGCAACTGGGACGGAGAAGACATTGCAGGCTGACGTGTTTGCTGGGATGCACAGCCCCTCGTCGGAAACGCAGCCATCGCAGTAACCATACTGGCATGATGTATCTCCTGCTACATCTGATGGAATGCAAGTAGACGAAGTCGTTGCAGCTTCAGCGTCCACTTTGGTGGATTCAACTGCGGACGAGAAGGATGCAACCGATGAAGCCCCAGGATATAGTCCAGAAGATCAAAGTCTGACGTGAAGTTTGAAAAAGAAATTGCGAGCACGGAGACGGAGACACATACCTTTTCGGAGTGGATTGGTAGTATTCCTGGTACTCAAGTGACGGTGCCGGCGAACGGACAGTGTATCTTCTCAGCAATGTACGCAACGACTACTAACATGGCGACTGACCGACTAGTGTTCAAAGCGGAGACGACACGCGGAATCAATCAGCTCAAAAAGGCGGTCATTGATGTGGTGCTCACGAATTTACGATATGATGTCCAACTACGGCATATAGACCCGGTACTGGAACTAAGACGTCTCTATCCGGGTGTTGCACCCCCTGCGACGGCTGAATCAGCGACAGCAGCGCTATATGCGCATTACGCAACAGTGCAACGGACCTCGGTGACAGAGCCTGTGCCCCAAGCGTTCTGGGAAGGCACACATGTTCTTCGAGCGATGGCTGTCTGCTTGCGGGAACAGCTGTACGTTTGGGATGTGGCTAGTGATAATACAGCCCACGTGCAGCAGTACAGCTACAAGGTCTTTGATATGCCGAATGGAGACAAGCACGAGACTGGGACAGTCCATCCGATTCCGGACTCCAGGACGAGAGACTTTCTTGAGCTCTGTTTTCACCACCACGTTGTTCCGCCCATGCTTCTTTTGAAGCACACAGAAAGTCATTTTTACGGAGTTCGGCATGGGCCCGTGTTCAATACATGGGATTGTGAAATGGGTCCTACCATGAGGAACCGCCTTGACATGGTGCATCGTGCCATGAACTGGTCAAAGTTAGACGCCCACAGCCCTTCATGATACTGCCATAGCAGAGGACGCGGCGATCCTCGAAGACAAGGGTATAGATGTCTACGCGAGTGGCCCTCAGGAGACATCTGTGCGTGACGAAGCATCACGTGTGAGGCGCCAAGACCCAACTGCTGAGGCGGTAGCACACCCAGAAGTGTATCGTCGCCTGCTAACTACGGTGAATATCGATGACGCAGCAATGGCTGACAGACGCAAGGCGCGGAACATGCACCGAGACAATCAAGCGGCAGCTGAACGTTGGATGGCCCTGCATGGAACTCACCACGGTGTATCTGGTGGCGGCTGGGTGTGGGCGGACAGGATCGAGTGGCTCTCTGCAAACCCTTTCACCTTCCGCTCTGTTCTTGCTTTCGTGCCATTCCCTGAACTCGTAGTGCAGCAATGCACACCCGCTCAACTTTCTAGATGGGGGCGACACGAGGTATTTCTACACCAACTCCAAATATTATGATGTATCAGCATCGATGACGACCATGATGACACGACGCAAAAAAAATTGCGCATCTTGGCCCAGGGCGTCTGACGGCGAGCTAACACCGGCTAACCTTTCGCTCGCAAAGGGCAGCGACCGCTGGAATCGGCTTGGCAGAATGGTGGATGCATCGCTTTTGCGCAACAGACCGGCCACTATTGATACTGGGCACTGGGAGATCTTACACCTTTTGCCGTACGTCATTCGAGGTTGGATTCACACAGCTATGGGCCGTACAGAGCTTGCGTCACGAACAGTATGGTACCACGAATTTCCACAAGTGAAGAATCTGTGCGCCTCCATCGCATCCACCAGAGACTGGAGTGGTGCTGCTAACTTGAGGAGTTTGCCCGCACCTTGAGTGAGACAGAGCCTGATCATGCAGCTGCAGCTCTCCAGTGGGACACCTTCAAGGAACGCGTGGTGAAAGGGATGATCACAACTAAACGAAATGCTCGAAAGACGATCAACCAAACCTACCGTAAAAAGATTCACCGCCTTCATGGGCAATACTGGCGAGCGTTGCAGAGGGTATTGACAGGATGTCCCATCGCTGGTAACGGAGATGTCGGCAATGCGGGTGTTCAACGAATCTCCCAGCACATTGCAGCGACAAATCGGGAATGGATATGAGCAAAACGAGGACGACTTTTCAAGCACCCACGTGGTGGGAAGGTAAGACGACGAAGACATTTTTCAAACGTATCTCGTGTAAATTTGCTGACAATCATATCCCGACTCTACGACCTGTTGCCGGGGCACCACCACGGGAAACCCATGACAAAGCCAACATACTTGCGGATGCGTGGGCACCCGTTTTTCAAGCGTGCATCCGCGGAAGGAAAAAATGGTGGAAGTTTCAAACTGGATGGATGCTGGGCCGCAGGAAGACACGCGATACTTCACCACTGCGGCGTTTATCACTGAGGACACTGTCACAACAGCTCTCGCCAGTTGTAAGCTGGGGAAAGCTAGTGGTCCTGACCGTCTTGGAAATGACTGGTATCGATCGTACTCGTCAATGCTCGTTCCAATATTGACCAAACTGTATAGAGTATGGTACGCGGCAGGTTGCTTTCCAGTGTCGTTCCTACAAGCAGATATATTCTGCATCAAGAAAAATGGAGACGGGGGCAACCCGCTTAATTACAGACCACTAGCGCTGCTCAACACCGACTATAAGATCCTAACGCGGCTCTTGACGTCTATTATTTGCCCGACGTTAGAGAAACGAATCAGCCTCCAGCAGAACGGATTTGTGCCGGGCCGAGATATTCACGACACGATCGACTACTTTCTGGCGGCCAAACGCGTTGCAGCTACATCATCAGAGCATCGAAATGCGCTGGCACTGCTGCTAGACTTTGCGAAAGCGTATGATTCGCTTGAACGAGACTTCCTCTATCAAGCACGTCGCAGGCATGGCTATCCAGAGCACTTTGTTACTGTTATCAAGAGCCTGCACACGGGTACGACGGTTCGATTCCTTGCGAATGGAGAGCATTCACGGACATTGACGGTCACACGTGGTATTCGCCAGGGATTCCACCACATGGCTCCACTCCTGTTCATCCTCGCGTTAGAGCCCTTATATCAACGCGTCATGAGAGAACCAACCCTGAGAGGTGTTGTCATTCGCACGCAAAACGCAAAATTCACATTAGGAATTGCGGGATATGCAGATGATACCACAATCTACCTTCGAACTCCTGACGGAGTGGTGACATTGTTGGCAATTACGGACCTTTTTGGAACGGCATCCGGATTATGCCTCAATCACGCCAAGACAATTGCGATCATGTTACATCACGATGGCTTCACCACCACCACTGCATGGGTATGGTCAATCCAGCTTCAACCGGTAACGAAACAGTGTCGATACTTGGGGATACAAGTGGACAGTCGCTCCGACGTGGGAGCAATGTGGATCCTGGCAAGAAAACAACTTCTGCTCCGTCTGAGACTTCCTTGCCACAAGTTAATTTCGGTAGATCAACGATCTCGGGTGGCAGCAGCAGTCATTATTCCCAAGCTTCTCTTTATCGCTCGTCATGCTTGGCCCAACACGGATATTGTCGACATGTTTACGGCTCGCATTAAGGCGTTTGTATGGAGCGGAGTTTTTCGATGAATCCGCTACGCTAGTTCCGTGACTTGCACAGGATGCAGCCAAGCTTCCACGTCGAGAGGGTGGTTTGGCCGTACCAGATCTGAAAGCTGAACTGCTTGCAATGGCGGCCACAACGGTGACGCAGTGGGCAACGACTTCTACGATAGCGGCTCTTGTTGTTGGAGACACGTTGGCAACAAGACACCCACGTGATAATCCGCCTACGGTCTATGTCACGCCCGACCACCGACCCCGGGCGGTAACCGGATTCCGTGAATCACAATCTCTGTGGACTGCTGGAATTATGATGATTCACGTTGCAGGAGCTCCTGCTCCAGTGGACGGACACGGTGAACTCGTGGCGGCGTTGTATATTGATGTACAAGCAGTTGTGAGGGATTCTCTGAGTTGCAAGGAAAACACGTACGAACTTGTGATACCTCCCCGTTTCCGGATAAAAGCAACCGCATTGAGAACCTTCCAACGTCTCCATTACGGGGTATTGCACACCGAATGGCTTCCCTACGCTGAACTAGATCACCTACAGCTATATGATGCCACGGGAGGGCGATGTAACTTAGAAGGACTTTTTCCTGGTGTTCACAGACAAGTGCGGGCGTTCATTGAATGGGAGCATCGACCCTGGGGGCTTGTCGTTACTAAAGGTCACCGGATCACTCGCGGTACGCTCTCCGAGCTACTCACGATACTCCTTGCAAATTACCTGTCAATTGGGCTTAACGATATTTACACTTCTGAGCTACGGATAACAGCACAACCAGTGGATCACCCCTTGATTGCACACGTATTACTGCGGAACGATGATACTGCATCGCCCTTTCTCTCCGTGGCTTCCTCCACTCAGGCAGTTCCGCATGAAGTGGCTGTCGCTTCCAGGCACAAGGCGGTTCAAGAGCTAAAGCTTATTACGGGAACCGAGATGAACGTTCGTGCCATACACCCACACACACGACTTGACCGGTTGGTATGTCTCTGGGCAGGCAAGAGGAGGTGGTGTCAGCCGCGACATGTGTACAAAGCTGCCGCTCAAGCTGCAGGGAGGTCCCGCGGGAAACGGAACATCGCACATCGACTGGAGAACAGGAGCGCAGAGGACCCAGATATTCACGAATCCCTCTTGAAACTCAGTTGGCAGGAGATGCGGCGCATCACTGGAATCTCGGTGTGGGGGGAACAGGTCTTGCATCGACTCAAATTGCGTGCATTTAGAATCTGGGACCCTACTACAGGACACCAAGGATGTCCAATTGAGGAGTGTCATCAGTTTCAACCAGGATTAGGCACCTTTTCTGGAAGTGTCCTGCTGCTGCTCTCTGGAGCACCTTTCACGAGGCGTGGCTACCATTGGGAGTGACAGTGTCTACCCTATCAACGTTAACCCGTGAACTACTGAAGGTCCCTCCTGGGCTCTGGGCGCGGCTGGATAGCAAGTTGACGAGGCTTCCGCAACATGACCGAAATCTCATCGCGGCTGAACTGTACGATGTGGTTAATACATTCTGGCGTGTGGGAACCGTGGAAATTTATCAAGCAATATGGCGCCGCCGCTGCTCATACTGGAATTCGGCTGGAACAATTACCGCAGGTGAGGCTCCTTTGATCTTACGGGGACGACTTCAAAGTGGATATGCTACGGTATGCTATCTTTTGGGCGATTCAACTGCCACTTGCGCTCGAGTACGCGCAGCTCGCCTCGTTTGCGACGCTCTCACGAGGACTGATTGTGATTCCCCACCGCCAATACCGGAGGTCTCTCATCGCGTAGAAGCAGCAGGCGTGCACGTCTTATTCTTTGATGGAGGTTCAAGAGGAAACCCCGGCCCAGGGGGCTCTGGATCTGTGCTCGTGGTGGTGGACCCACGAACACAGAAAGCTCAAATTGTCTGGATGGCCAGTGTATCGTATCTCGCCCGAACTACCACAAACAACCTGGCCGAATATTGTGGATTACTTAACGGGCTACGTCGAGCCCATCGAACCAACACTTGTGCACTGCATGTGGCTGGGGACAGTACGCTCATATTAACACAACTTCGCCGACGAACTCCCCCCAAAACAGCTCGTCTTAAGGGGATATACGCCCAATGTCGCCGACTCGCGGATCAAGTGGCTGTTCAGACGTGGACCTACCACCTCCGCAGCTTCAATAAACTGGCTGACGGACTTGCGAACATCGCGATGGACATGCACAAGAGCGTGCAGGTATTTCACTCCGACTTTCCCTCATTGAGTAGAGCATGGGTGCCAGTTCTTGAATCTCTCCAAGGAGATGTCGATCACTGGCTCGACCAACACGAGGGTACGGGCGCCCTTAATCCCGATGACGGCGTTCCTTAACGGATCGCATGAGCTGGTATGAGCTTCTGCCATAACCAGCAAGCTGCCCATTGATGTTAAAGACAATGGATGGAACGGACATTAGTTAGGACGTTAGATTACTAAGTGACTACAATGTACCTCACCTTCAAATCAAAACAAAAGGATCTCAATAATTATCTCCTCTAATTCCTGGATGTCGTACATCTTTACATGACATAGCTTTGTTCGAGCCCGCGATCACGACAAGTTTCTAGGAAACTTTTCACATGATCGCAGGCATTTCGGCCTCCCTTGTCGAATTGTATTCCCACGTCCCTCGCATACCCGTTAAGTCAGTTCAGGTAATCGCAAAGATGCTTTTTGTCTTCTCGCTTTGCTGAGTAGTAGCGAGTCGCAGCAGTTTGGTTGTATTGAGTGCAGTAGTATCTAATAAACGAACGGCGGAGAAGATTCCATGTACGTTTGGTCTTCTTTGGCAGTTGTCGGTGCCAATGCAACGCACCATCCTTCAAACTTAGTTGGAAAGGTATATACCACTCATCGGGACTTGCTCGAGTTCCTTTCATCTCATATACGAATCCACGTAGCCACTGCATTGAATTCTCACTTTTGTTCCAGAGACCCGAGAACGCGCGAATTTGTCCTAGAGGACGGTGAGTCGCCAATTCGATCTTCTGCGTCAAGCGGTCTTCTTCGGGACTTAAAACGTTTTAGATCTGTCTTATATATTCATTCAGGACTCCGTTCTTGTTGAGGGCGTCAATAAATGTCATCAACGTCACCCGAGGAGGAATCGTTCTCATCGTACCGATTTTTATCCCACCTGCGTCGGGAACCTCGGACCGTGATCCTGGTCGCGTTTGTGCGTCCGCCATCGTGATCAGGTTGCTCTTTCCTTCCCGAAGACTTGGGTGTTATCATGTGCGAGCCTTGGAAGTAGGGAGTCTCATCCCCTGACTTCGAAAACACTCCATGAGACTTCGGCACAGTGTTATATCCTTTTGACGGCGTCTTTGGAAGTGGAATCTTCGACGGGTCGACGCCTCCACCAGCTGTCTTTCCTATTGGTGGTTGAGGATAGTGAATGTCAGTCACTCCGAAACCGACTCTCAGCTTACGTTTCCATTTCCACAGGCCCGCGCCAGCTTCGGCAGGTATCCACGACCCCAAGCCTGCTTGTGTCGGCATGGTTTGCGCTTGCAGTCTCATCGACTTCAGGAACTGCACCGTGTCACTCGCGACTTGCCCAGTCGTCGTGGCCGTCACTGCCACAGCCAGCTCATGGCTAAGGTCCGTCCACACTGCTTGTCTGATCCGTTTTGGTTCGAAGAGTCTGACCCACGTACTCTTCACCGTCTTTTCCTCGTATGTGCGACCAAGAACCTTGTTTGCCGCTGGGGTGTCTCCAATCATTGGTGGCCGATATACTGTTTTTTGCTCTGTGACTTGAGATTTCGTCACAGCTTGTTTCGAGTCATCGCCATCATCTTCTCCCTCTTCATCGTCGTCGTCTCCAAATGCTGGTACGAGTCCGACGACTTCATCAAGTTCTTCCATAAGATTCCGAGCCAGGGGCTTGCACCGCTGCTTTGCCCTGCCGCCAGAATCGCGTCTTCTGGGTTGTCCTCTTTATCTTCGAGGTCATAGACCTCATCCATGGCTTCGCCAGGTTCGTTCGCGTCTTCCTCAAAGCTGATCGAGCATCCCGTGTACTCGTCAGTGGCAGGTGTTCCCACCAGCATTTCCGTGTCGTAGTCGTCCGTCCCGCCAGTCTTCGCAGGGTTTTTTGATACCGCTGAAATCGATCATTTTGCCATTGTTTCTTGTTTCTTGTTTTTCTTGTTTTTCTTCTTCTTCTCTTCTCCATTTCTCTTGGTTGTTGCCCGAAAAGTCAATCGACCTGCCGTAGCACAACACACAGAAGTCACCACCAATCCCGGGTCGCGGCACCAGTTGTCGTATCGAAATACGTCCAAAATATAGGTACACCTCCCTCCAACAACACCCACTTCGCCACAAAGACTTAGTAGGCTTATTTGGGGTAAACACAAGAACTCGAAGGCCTGCGTACGATCCCTTGCACCGGGTTGGTCTGTGTTTCTGTGTACTGTGGTTCCCGCAGGTCAACCACTGAAACCTCGGCAATCCTAGTCACGGGCAAGCCTCGGATGCCCACACACACTCAATATAACACGTAGTTCCAACAGCGGAAGGGTACTGGCTTTATACGGCTCTATACGTGGGTGCCCGGGTTAATCCCGCGCTGGATTAATAAGAATGACGAAGCCTTGCCTCCCAATGTATGGCGAAGACTCGTAAACAGTCGATCCGCCTCCCAATGTATGGCTAGATCTCAATGGCGAAGACTCGCCCTATTACCCAATACACACTGCCAACTCTCTGGGCTTTGCCACGGGCGTACAACACAGAACACTAGTTCGCGTGCACACTGACAGGCATAATCCTACCTACCAAGTACGATACTACACCACACAGGACTTACCGCTGAGTGGTCGGACTTGACTCTCGAGGTTGGTGGGAAAATATGTTCTGTTATATTTACCCTTATGGACTGATCTAATCATTAATGCTCCTATAGTCATATACAAATATCAAGTATGAACGCGTCCGTTATGGACCCCTTAAAACTCCCGTTGGTCCGACGAGTCGCAAGTCTTTTCTTGGTCATGGATCTTGAGTGATTTCACGTTCCGTTGAGTCTGGTCGTTAGATTTCGGACGTGCCGATGGCTCAACCTCTTGGTAAGCTCGATACTATGGCTCGGTCTTCGGAATGGTCATGTCCTCTTGATCTCCGTCATCGTTGGTTATCGACCAGTCAGAACCACTGGAACTTGGCCGTCAGGCTTCGTGGACAGAGACTGACCACAGCGCGGCCTTCCCGTTTTCGTGGTGTTGGTTCACAAGTGATTTACTACACCACAGCTCCACAACCATCGTTGAGGTTAGGCCTGAAGGGGATGTCAGCTCAGACTAGGGTGACGTCGTTGGTTGCGTCGATACTGTCATGACCGTCGCCGTCGTGGCGCTTGCCGACACTGGTACATCAGCCGTGGGAGCCGCGGTCAATGTATCCGACGTGATTCGCGTTGTTTAGCTGGCATCACCTTCGTCAACTTCACAGGCGTAACTGGCCGTAGAACCTTTAGGAGGTGGACGGTTTCTGGGTCGGTTGAGTTGCCACAAGGGTTAGGACGCGTGCTTGTGCAGGTAAATTGGAGGCAGGTGCCTCGAGCGTCGGAGTCGCACGAACACGCGCGAGGCCAACCAACGCGTAATCCCGGCCTCCTGGGCCAATCGGGTGGAAGCTCCGAGAGGTGAGTTCCCTCCGCGATCAGGTTGAGGTTGGGTGATACTTGTGGAGATCCGGTTGTAGCTGGCCAGGGCCGTGGCGGACTCGGATCTCGCGTCGTCGAGCTTACTTTCCGTGCGGAGTTAAAGGACTTGGGTGCGGAGGCCGTCGGGATCGTCTTCCGCGTCGCGAGCGAGGTTGGAAATCTCGGTCTCCAGGCGGGTGATCTCATCTCGCTACCCGTGTTGGAACGCTTCCATGCCCCAGATGTCAGCTCGCAGCTGACGCACTTGTAGATCGAGATGATCCCGATCCCGGACGAGGTGATCTCGCGCGGGGTTACCCTAGCGGAGCTCGGCCTCCAAGGCTGCTAACCACCGCCCCGAATTGGAGGCGTGGGGGCGTGAACTGCGTGAGATGTTGGAGTAATGCGACCGATGTCTCCCCGTCGACATGGAAAACTTGGGCAGGGTCGGTACTGGAGTGCTCCCGGAGTCGCTGCCTTGCTGGCTCATAACGGACGGCTGGCCGAAGACTTGAGAGGTGTGGGCACGAGTCCGCAAATTGCGGAATGAGACCTGGAGTGAACCGGGGCGGCCCAACTTACAGACTGAGGGCGGAGGTAGTGAAGTGGAAATAAGATCTCGCGAGAAATACAACCTCGACTGCAAGAGCGCGAGATAGAGACGGATCAGGTAGGTACCGGATGTCAGGTGATCGTAA